TCGATCTCGGCGTCTCACTATTCTTTTAATCAGACCAAAATCCCTGTCACATGGCAGGAATGAATGGCCACGAACAGGAAAATATTGATGAATTTCGGTAAACCTTCCATGCATGCTGAGAGCTGATAACAATCTAATAATAGTATGATTCCGGTTCTGTCCGCCACAAGCATCACTGAAGATATGTATTTCGGTAATCTCTTCTGGTATTGTATCTAGGTAATCTTTCAGAAAGCTTGCAACTTCGTTAGAACCCCTTTTGGCGGTACCTTCAGAGTATGTGTAAAATGTTGCATCATTGGTTTTCAAGTTGTGAATACCAAAAACATATTGCCAGAGTTTTCGAAGGTAGAACATATCGTTTACTGGCATATCAGGTAAAGGCAGATTCTGCATAAAATCAAAAACAATCGCACCAATATGTTGGTTTTGGGCACACAAACCTCGGACATACTCAATTTTTTTATAGAACTTTGAGGCACGTCTTTTATGTATGATTAGTTCTGCACTAGCCACACGCTTTGCGTTGTCGTTCAACACCTGTGATTTTAGTTTCACAGACAACTCCTCACATGTCGGACAGACATCTACTTGTGGTCTACCAAACCGATATCCAAAATTTTCGTTGAACTGCTTTAGGTAGTATTCGTACTTAACGCGTTTTGCAAGATCTGCATTTTCCAAACAAAACATTTCATGCATTTTTTTTACTGTTGAGGTAGATTCCAGGTATTTCAATGGTTTACTACCATAATGGGTGTCTTTCGTCGGAAATGCAGCAATATGAGCATGGATTTTACAGATAATATCGTCAGGTGAAGCATTACCTCGATTAACATGACGACCACGTTTGTCAATAGGCCTGGAGTTATTCAAAAGTAGTGTAGTCAGACGGAAAACTGCTTTACTTGATAAAGCATAAAGACTCAGAAATGCTTTTTTACATACTTCACGTCGCACTCTTCCGTTCAAAACATGATATTTGAAATTACCTCGACGATTCTGCTTTGGTTCCTGATATTTTGGCCTACGTCTTTTGATATCTTCAACATCCACAAGACCCATCAAAAAAGTATCTTGTTCGTTTTTGGGCTTACCACAGTAAAGCGATTTGAAAATCATCATCTTCTCATCGTGTGACATCTCCATACATTTTCGTTTACTTCTAAAATTTACATAAATTTAGTATTACCTGAAAGACCGATTGACTGATCAAATTTGAAAAACTTTCTCACATCAATGGAATCCCTACCTACAGTCCGGCCCTGTTTGTTTTGCAGCCCTTTCGATTCCTTTTTGACTTGTATACTTTTGTCCCAATAATCTTGCTTGAATCCGAATATTATTCTTATAATTTCCAATGTTTCGAACACCTTTTTTTCGTTTACATTGTGGTTCTTCACTGTCACTGTTGGAATCTGACATATTCTTATCTATTTTATTACAAAATACTATGTAGTTACACGTAAAACACACTGATGTTGCTTCAGTCAATACCTAATGCATACTAATAATTTCAGAATGACTAATAATGGTTGCTGTCAAAAGTCCGCTTGCAACGCCCTCACATTGAGTGTATGAAAGAAACAAGAATTGGATTTATTTCCTTTATACACACAACCCAAATTTTGTGACGCTCTGATTGTCATATATTAAATCGGATTTGTCTCCTTTATAGACTCAACGATGCACTGATGAATTATATACAATATGTATATACCACTTATTTTGACCAAAAAGTGGAGTTGTTTCCTTTATACAATAACCAATTCAAATGTAATGAATATGTAATGAACCTAGAAATTATTTCCAATGAACATTACAACAAGTGAACGACCAATACTGATCGCAAATGTGATTCTTTCAAGAGAGCCCATGGTGTTTGAATCCAAGCCAGGTACAGCTAATCATTGGAAGACTCAATGAAAACGCAATCAATAGATACTCACAAAAGATACGCTGACCAAAATCAACACGTTTGCATTTAGTATAGCAGCATCTGATCACATGGTATAGAAAACATTTCAGAAATTAATTATCTACATATAGAATTTGGCTTGTGTTCATTTCATGCAAAGTCAGTGGAACAATCAGCTTTTTCTATTCCTCACCAAAGTGGGAGAGAATTCTTGACGTATTTGTTTCCTTCGTCATGAGATGTTGCTCGGGCGAACAAGTCACTTTTAGCTGCGTATCTTTTCATTGAGTCAGGAATCACTTCAGTCAGTGGTCTCAAAATGTTTAGTGACTGAGCTGCCCTGATGAGGATCAATTGCCTGAAATCGGTTCGCAGGTGGTTAGGACTTCCAGGCTCAATTCACGAAAATAACACTTGCATAGATTTAGAAAGAATGTCATTCAATCAAAGATGAAGGAACCCAGAGTTATCTCCACAATATTCATTCGAAGGATCAGAGATCCATCACGCAGTACATATTTTGGGCTTATACAGTGTGTCCATTTAGTGCGTAATTCTTCGATATCTCGAAATCAATTATCACAAGAGAAAAACTTTGGAGAAAAAACTTTCTCAGTTACTAAAGTTGCTCATTTCAAAAATATTTCCAACAATACTGGGTGATTTATAAAAGCGGGGCAACTCGAAGACGAGTTTTTTTAAATGGAACACCCAGTATTGTTCATTCGAAATTTATTCCGCTAAGGTTCAGCTCTACATCGCTGTAAAAAAAATTTAATTTGGTTTCGGCGTTGCCAAGTTATAATTGATAAACCCATTTTTACTACTATTGAATGGTCATGTTCAATTGGGTATGGTATATTTATTTATTGAAATTTCTAAAATATTTTTGGCATACAGTAGTAGCAAGGTCTCACGTACACCAATCCAGTAATCTTGCGAGATAATCCTTTACAGGGTGCAAAAATTTACATTCTGAATATTGTAAGATTCAGACGACGATCATAAGAATTTTTCAAATGAAACACCCTGTATTTTTCATCACAGATTCATTTCGACATCATTCGCCTTTTCATCGCTGAAGAAAAAATCAAAATCGGTTGCGGCGTTTTCAAGTTATGAGTAATTTCCTCATTTTTATTACTATTTTAGGGTAATTTGTACGTCATGATGGTTCCTTTATTTGATTTGAATGTGGGAATATTGCTTGCCACATGACATCCGAGGTTCTACATAGATCATTCAGGTATTTTTGCGATATGTGCATCGTTCAAATTTGAAATATTCCGTATTCTTGTTACTTATGATTCAAATAATATGTGAAACGAACAAACATGCCAAAAGCAACGCCTGTCTTTGAAACAAATTCTACAATACAAACAATGAAGATGCGGATTGCGAAAATTAGTAAAATCTTTTGAAATTTCGGCCATTTTTATTGTCGTTATTCCCACAATCCAAATCTCCATTCAACTTGAAGGAGGTAAACATAATGATACAACAATGTCTCTACTACACGGCTTTCGGGAGGGAATTCAGCAAAATTTCGAATCAATCCAAGATATTTTGATTGTGGCGATGTTTGACAGGTCATTACACAAATATAAGTGTATTTCGAAAAAAATTCAAACGTGGAGAGCCTGTAAATGTTCCTATTGTAAAAAAATATAAGAATGGTCAATGAACAAATTTTATAATACCGTAAAATAAATGAAAGAACAACAAAGAAAGAACAAAGAAAGAACAAATAACCCCGAAATAGTAGTAAAAATAAGGAAATTATCCATAACTTGACAACGCCGCAACCGATTTCGATCATTTTTTCCAGCGATAAAAAGGCGAAAGATGTCGGAATGAATTTTTGAATTGAAATACAGGGTGTTCCATTTGAAAAGTTCTGATGAATGTCATCTGAATCTTGCGAAATTCTAAATGCAAAATTGAGCACCCTGTTGAAGAACATGTCGTGAAATTACTAGATTGGCATACGTGGGACCTTGCTTCTACCGTATGCCAAAAATGTTTTCAAAATTTGAATAAATGAATATACCATGCCCAATTCAACATGACTCTTCAATAATGGTAAACATTGATTTATCAATTAAAACTTGGCAACGCCGCAACCGATTCCAATTTTTTTTTACAGCCATGTGAAGGTGAACCTCGGCGGAATTCATTCCGAATGAACAATACTGGGTGTTCCATTTAAAAAAACTCTTCTTCGAGTTGCCCCGCTTTTATAAAACACCCAGTAAAGTTGAAAATATTTTTGAAATGAGCAACTCCAGTAACTGAAAAAGTTTTTTCAATGAATCAAGAAATATTGTGGTTACCAAAAATCAACAACCCGCCCCATTTCTGAAGTTCTAATATTTTTATGAAAAACACACCTATTTATTATAAACAATCATGGTGCATACGTCTGGGTTTTGCTTTGTTCATTTCCATATCCAAATTCCATATTTCCTGATCGGCTGATGATGTGCTCATATAAGCCCGAAACACGTACTGCGTGATGGATCTCTGATCCTTTAAATAACTTATGTGGATTTGATTTTGCGTTTCTTCATCTATGAACTACACCACTCCACTTTGAGTTACCATGGACTTCTTCCAAAGACTTTATTCAATATTCTGAGTGACAAAAGATGGTTCAGGCTCAGTTAGTTGTTTTCCTGTCGCTGTCTGCTGTTCAATTTATTGAACGTTTGCAGATTTGACTTGTAGTTCCAAGTGTGAAGCATATATCGGTTAGATGGATCAATTTCCAGATAAAATCTCACTGAATCTTATAAAGCACCAATAAACAGGAAGTTAGTTGTAATAAGGCCCAAACCAAATAATTGCAGTGCAGTGGCTAAAATAACATCTAACCATTCAACCAATAATCGTAGTCTAATCTGGATCAGGGTGAATGTTTCAGCGACGAATACAATATCCTGAAACATTTTCAACACATTGTAATGAGGAGGACTTCGAACCAATATCGATAAAGTAACCTCAGCCCTCCATTTATATTGGACGCACACTGATCTAAATCGAATGATATCAATCAAAACGTGTTTTTTTATATTTGTTTCAGAGATATGTTACCACAGAATGTGACGAACTGTTCACATTATGCATATCTGGAGGACCTGTACGATATCATCAAATTAGAAGAAGGTGAGTTGTACATATTGCTTTCATCTTGAAAAAAAATTATGTCACTATGGATTTTCATCAATTAGATAATGAATGCATTTTCGTTTATATCATGGAAATAATGCAAATTATCCCTTTTGATTCGATAAAAATCTAATCAATCTTCCAGCATGAAGTTGATTCTTCTAGAGGAGAAATAAATTCACGAAGCCATCATTTTCAATTACCTTTCGACGAGAGATGGAACTATAAATCTTGAGGAAGCCAGACAACTAAATAGATTTCTCCTTCCCTTTCTTGGTATAAAATCAAGATTTATGTAAAATTCCAGATCGCTAATTCTGAATATTAACTTCACTTGGAATGGGAGAACCAAAAATCATCAAGAAATAATATCTTGAAAGAGTACATTCAAACTGGAGATTTAATATCAGATATTTCAATATACACCTCCCAACTAGCAAATTATTCTCTATGAAACTTGTGGGGAAAATAGCTATTTATATATATAAAGGGAGCAAAGGTATCCATTGCCTTGCCGGCTTGCCGCGTGTGAAGTTTGATCCGCCACGCGGCGGGCATTAATCACACATGGGAGGAAATGAACCTTTGCTCCCAAGATATATATATATGATTTAATCCACGAACGCATATATTTGAGAGGGTCGTTCTTAAAATTGTGTTGCAAGCGATCTATCTCTAGAGTCTCGATCCAATTCAATGTGTTACGTGATCTAAGGTTACAAAAGTGTAGTATGCGCCCACAGAGTATGCCATGGACAATTATTGACAGAATATTTGGATCTGAACGAAAATCAATTTGACACTTCTGTCATATTAAATTTGTTTATTGTATTATTGCATTTTTGTATTGTGAGTTTCGACTTTGATTGAGTGAGTTTGAAAAATGAGGAAGTTTATGAGTGTATTGGAGTTTGGAGGAGAAATTTTCATTTGTTTCATAGTAGTGAAGAAGACACTGGTTAGGTACTTGGGTAGCACAGATCTTCTCCCTAACAACACAGGGATGTCCTAGGTACGTCCCTTTTTTGTCTCGCGGTACAAGGACATGATTGGGACATCCAGGGGAAATGAGTTTTTCGCTGATACGCGTGTTGGATTAGATTTCGCGGCGCTAGTATGGTAAAAATTTTCTCTAGTTCAATTCATCACATAACTATTTTCATCATAATATGGGTAGGAAAGGAGATATCGTGAAAAAACTGTTTTTGAGCGCCATTTTGGCGTCGCGAGCGGCAAAGATACGAGGTGGCAAAGTGAAAATTCTAAGAGAGCACGTCAAAATCTATAAAAACACCAATTTTCAAAACTCCCGGAAAACTTTCCAGGTGAAACTACCAAATGACTGAGCTACTCCAACCAACATTATGATTTCCGAATCATCACTAGCTCATGGTAATTCGATTCGAAATTTTCCTGTTACAGATATAGACGAAACAGAATTCTTCGACAAACTAGGCCAACAAATAATCACCTGCACTTGCACAGGCCGCATGGAACGAGCCTTCATCTGTCTTGGAGGCGACCTCAAAGAGTTCCTTACGACACTAGATGGCGTGCACGATGTTCTCAAGTACCAGGAGCATGCGCAGGACGGTGAGCAAGATTCGGACGCGTTCGTCTGTACGGCCTTGAGCGACGAGAATCTTCAACTAGATTTTATAACTGACAGGCCTGCTGTGGCATATTTGTTGGTGGGAAGCATCAAAGCTATTGCAAGGATACTGTACTATACGGACGCTGAAGTCTCTGTGGTGCAAAGTATTGTGGACAAGAGGCATTTCAGGTGAGATGAGTCTGATTGAATACATCTCATAATCCTCTACTGAAGTCCCTTTTCCACTAGAGAATGTCATCGAATTCAGGGTATCGCTTATTTGGAGAGAATTGAATACTCATTTCAATATAAGCGATGCTCCTGTTTTGAAATATACTCGTATCTAAATATAAGAGTTTGTGATTTACTTCAATTGAGAAATCTCACTTCCTCTATTGAAAACTTCGAAAACTTTGGATAAAATTGATCAGTACTAGATGTCGAATATCTGTATTTCTGATAAGGCAAATCACTTTCAAGTTGAAGAAGTGAAATGAGAAAATATTAGCTTCTGATAATACACTCACCGGCAAAATAATCGATCCACTCAAAATATAGATAAAACTCGATCAACGATAACTTTGTTAATTCATGTCTGATTCGTTCAATTCTTTCATACTCCGTAGGTAAATTCAAAAAGAATCACACACAATGTTGCGATTTTAAAAAAAGAGGCATATCTTCAAATTATACAGAGTGACTGAAAAAATGCAGGTTTACTTCAATTTTAAAACAATCTCTGGAGTGGTTATGCTGGTACATCCTGTAATTTCTCATTTAATCATCGAGCTACGTTTATTACGTACGTTGTCTTTTTTTATTTGTTACGATAACTGCTTTTTTACGAAAGTTACAAGGGTTTCAAAAAAACGTTACATTTACACATTTTGGTGATAATAAACATTTCCAATTGAGCAATCATGAACATAAACGACGTAACGAATGAAACCTGAAAACGTGTTTCCCCCACGTGCACGAATAATTGCTGCAAGTCGTCTTGGCATTATCAGATTTTGAATATACACCTGATTTGCTGCCATGCTTCAATTAACACATCACTGAGTTGCTGTAGATTTGCAGGAGCTGCTAAAAGAGATCGTAGTCTTCTCCCGAGAGCATCCCGAACATGTTCAATTGGGTTCAAGTCGGGGCTTCGAGTAGGCCAATGGATTATTGGGAGTTTAACATCTGGTAAATACCCATTCACAATATTTGCAACATGCGGTCGGGCATTGTTATGCATAAGCATCAAATCGTCTCCGATGAACAGCGCAAACGGAACAACATAAAACGTCTCTTATATACCTATTAGCTGTCATGGATCCCCTTTCCACTATGACTAAGTCCGTCTTAGCTTCAAAACTCACGACACCCCACACCATTATCGAACCGCCTCCGTAACTCACTCTTGACGAAAAATGGTTTTGGAGAAAACGTTCTCCAGTTCTTCTGTGAATTCTTTCATGTTCATCCGGTGATCTGGGTCAAAACCTTGACTCGTCGGTGAATAGGATATTGCTTCATTGTTCAACACCCTGATATTTGTGTTCCCTAGCATATCTGAGGCGATTAACTCGATGATTCCTCAATAACTCTGGACCAGTTGCAGGTCTTCTTGCTCGGAGTCCAATATCGAAAAACCTCCTTTTTATTGTTCTATCGCTGACTTGAACTTGCCCCACCTCCTCTAATTGGTTTTTCAATTGGACAGAAGTAAGTATTCTGTCCCTCAAAAATTTGAGCGTTATGAAGCGGTTATCTCGATCATTCGTAGATTCTTTCTACCACTATTACTTCTGCTTGTTAATACACCAAATTCACGAAACCGTTCAACAGCCCTTTGCACCCTAGATCTTGAAACTTCCAAAGCTCTGGCCACATAATATTGTGATCTACCATGCTGCACCAAAGCAATAGCTCTCGCAGAGTGGGTTGCATGAAGATCCATATCTTCAACCATTCGATGATTAACACAAGCATACAAATTGTCAACTGACAGGTCCTTCACAGCCAGCTATGCAAAAAATGTCTTGGGGAACCTTGTTATTACCATAGAAACAAATGTTGAAATGTAACGTTCTTCTGAAACCCTTGTAGCTTCCACAAAAATGCAGTTATCCTAAAAAATAAAAAGAGAAAATGTTCGTTATAAACATGCACTTTTTTTGTCACTCTGTATAATTTGAATATATGCCTCATTTCTTGAAATCTCAACATTGTGTGTGATTCTTTATGAATTTACCTACGGAATTAAAAAAAATTGAATGAATCAGACATGAATTAACGAAGTTACCGTTGATCAAATTTTATCAATATTTGGAGTGGATCGATTATTCTGCCGGTGAGTGTACATAAGTACGAAAGTAAGTATGAATGTCAATAAAATTCTTGAATGAAAGATACAGAAATGAGATGGAAGGAATATTGAGGGAACTGTTTTAACCAATCTAGAAAAAGATTATTGGACCTAGTCCTCAGGAAGAGTTAACCGTAGACACGTGTTTGGTGAAAGAAGTGCAAAAGATAGGCAACACTTGGTGGAAGACGACTCAACAAGCAAGACCCTGCATTCTGAGGGTTACAATTAACGTCACCACGGAAGCAGCTATAGCTACCTGCGTGACATCCGAGTCCAGGAGTAGAATGAAGATGGAAGGAATATTGAGGAAACTGTTTAAAGCAAACTAGAACAAGTGTTGCCTATCTTATGTCCAATAATCTTTTTCTAGCTCGCTAGTTACAGAAATACCGCATTCAACTATATATATATTTCAATCATATGATGATTGCATAAGGAGATTGAATTCTCGCGAACATGCAATCTTGTGGACTAAGAGAATGACATTCTTGACTTGAACACCTAATCCTGATTTGAAAAATCCTCCATTGGTTTATAAATCATATGTCTACTGATTCCATAGGAGTATTCTACTTGATACCTCGTATTAAACCTACCACCAAGCAAACCACCAAGTACCTATACTCATTATCAAATTTGACCTTGGCACGTCGCCACAAAGGTCACTTCATATTATGTAGTCATGGCAAAAGAGTGTCGATAATAAGCAGGTAGCAATTATTTTCTAAAATGTTTACTCTCGGAGAATTTCACTCATTAGTATTCATTTTGCCATCGCTGAGATATTGTGTAGCACCAAACCACACCAACACACAATACTCCATACCAAACACACGACACAAATGACAACGAATGCTTTTATTGTTTACCGCGAACAAGTAGAAATGTCGTCATCCACTCTAACATTTTGTACCTTAAAAAAAAGGAATTTTATTGAGACAAGAAAGATCCACACTCTTAGGGATGATCTTGACTTCTTAAAATGATGACAGCGAGATCGTCCGAACAAAACTCATGGAATATATTGAAATGGGACATATCTCCCCGAATCAATACAAATGCTACGTCAATTTCAAGATATCACTGTTGAATCAGAAGATGAATATGATTTCTCATCTAGAGCGACATACACTCTATTCCAGATTTTCAAGTGACATGTTATCAACGAATTGAGATCTTTCAAGTGAAATAAAAGCATATAGCATTGAAATAAAATATTTTTACTTAGATCAAATTATTCATCATCATCAGTAAAAAATAATCAATCTCGTTTGAGAGTTTTCTTATTCATTTTAGATGGGTTATTAGACTGTTTTGATGAAATACACGATCAAGAAAATATATTTCTCAATGTGAGAGATTGGGTTCCTTCAATTGAATGAGAAGTTTTTGACTTGGAGAAGTATAAACTGTTCACCAAAGATAATATCTTCAGATAAGTGCTCTTTCTTCTTTCAAACATTTACATTTTACCCACAGTTCAATGGGCTCATATTTCTACACTATATGCTTCTGATTTCATTTTCAACATTTCCAACAAAAGAAGGATTGAACCATATTGAATACTGCTACTACTATCACATGTATGCTGAAGTCAGAGTGAAGACTAGACATTGTTGTTGAGCTGGATACATCGAACTCATGTGAATCCTATTGACGTCATCATCAAAAAAAATTCACTCCACAAGAGAATGTTGCAATTATTTGTGTGTACCTAGAGAGGAAAGGAAGAGTAGGTAGTTATGGAATTTTCTCAAACTTTTGCATAGAGATTATGATTCCTTTGACATTTTTCTTTTGGCAAAGCATTCAGAAATGTTTTTTTTTATAGAAACATTAATTTCGGTAAATTGTTGTTCGACATATTTCAAGGTTAACAACAGAAATATCTGCCTGGGCTTATCGTTGCTATACTAAATGGCATGTGATAATAATCATATATTCATATAATCCTCGATATTCTCTATGCTTCCAATCTCTCTTTTTTTAATTGAAGAAGAACAATGCGCATTGTCATTCTATTCCTAATATGGACGAATTAGCTTTATGTGTCTCTTGTTTTCACACATGTTCATTTCGAAATCTCATGTATATCAACTCTCATTCATTTAGTATTGTTTCGTTACTTAGATCAAAGGACGTTTATTGCCAGCACATTTCAGCCAGTACAGTTGATCTGACATTAAACATTCAAACTGGGACATTCAATTTTCTAGTCACTGAGTTGAACTTTAACCGAAATATGGATTACCTTTCCATCCTAAAGTTCAATTTGAGTTGCGGAGAATGCTATATTTTTATCGAATATAAAACCCGCATTTTCTATTATCGGTGAATGTCTGTGGAAAACATTATGATACCTGCCAAAAATCTGTCCGCGCTGCTGGAAAATTGCGATGGTTTTTGATAATAAAAGCCCCCGCAGCCAATTCTTGTTTGTCGATGCAAAGAAAGTTCACAAAAACGCCATAACGGTAAAAACGTATCGTAGGAAGGAGAATTCCCCCTTTTACAGATCTCGTTCAAGGTTGGGAAATTTGATAATGATACGCTCAAACAAGAAGCAGAGTTTTTTCGACTGGAAAAAGGGATTATCATGAACACAGCATGGCCAAAACATTCCGAGTTGTTCACAACTGGAACACAGAAAATAAGTTCTTCGACAATGGGCGATGTAATCTTGTGAAATTAATAATATAATTTCATAACAATAACATTCCACTTCCGAACTCGGAAGAAGAAATCTCTATTGATAGATGGTGGAGAAAGAGTCAGGATTATGGAAAAGATTCCCGAAATTCAGGAGCCATTTCCATGTTGAGTCCTCAGA